TTGATTCCCGGTACAAAAAAAAAAAAAAAAAATGTTAGGGACATTTGGGCTGGGAGTGTAGTTCAGTGGTAGAGAACTTGCTTAGCATGTGCAAAATCCTGGGTTCCATCCCAAGCACTACAAAGAAAGAAAAGGAGGGCCGGGGATTTAGCTCAGTGGTTCTGGCGGCTGCCTCGAAAGCACAAGGTCCTGAGTTTGATCCCCGGTACCAAAAAAAAACCCGAAAAAAACAAAGAAAGAAAAGGAAACAAATAAAAGAAAAAAGAAAGAACACCCAGGCATGATGGTGTACATCTGTAATACCAGCATTTGGGAGGCTGAGGCAGGAGAATCACCATAAATTCAAGCCCAGCCTGGGTACAAAGTGAGTTCAAGGTCAGCCTAGAATACATAGCAAGACCCTGTCTCAAAAACTAGAACAAAACAACAAGAAACCACCTCCCTAAAAAAAGTTATTGTAATAAAAATTACAATTATATCAAGTATACCCAGAAAAATGATTAGAAGTATATCAGGATATTAATAATGGTTGTATTGATTCCAGTGAGATTTTGGGTAATTTTTTTTCTCTTCTTTATTTTCCAATTTTGTGTGCTAGTATGATTAATGTAAAAGTGGGGTTAGAAGGTAGTATTCTAGGCCCAGGGATGTAGCTCAATGGCTCCTCACCTGCCCACAAAGTGCAAGGTGTCCTGAGTTTGATTCCTGGTACCAAAAAAAAAAAAAAAAGGTGGTATTCTATAAAAATAAATTTTTGATTGTTTATAATGTCATATCTAATAAAATTTTAGATTATTGTACTTATGTAAGGTAGAAGAACTTAGATGGATAAATGGTGTAGTTCGTAGTTTAGTACTATTAATTTGTTTAACTAGAATTTCAAAATTTCTCTGAATTTATAGTTTGGAAAACATGCTTATGCCAGGCATGTAGGGACAGGCATGTAATTCCAGCAGTTTTGGAGCTGGGGCAAGAGGATCGAAAGCTTGAGCCCAACCTGGGCAATTTAGCGAGAGACTTTGTCTCAAAATAAGAGAGTAAAAAGGGCTAGAAATGTAGCCTAGTGTGATGGGCCAGGGTTCAATCCCCAGTGCCACACACACACAAAAAATCTTATCCATTCATCCTTCCATCCATCCATCTATCTGAGACATGGTCTTGCTATGTTTGTTGGTTGAAGAATCTTGTAGAAATTTCCAGTCTGGGGCCGGGGATTTAGCTCAGTGGTTTCGCCGCCTGCTGCGTAAGTGCAAGGACCCAAGTTCGATCCCTGGTACCAAAAAAAAAAAAAGAAAGAAAGAAAGAAAAAAGAAATTTCCAGTCTGGATTTTACTAATTGAGTCTTCAGTCCCTTTGGGGTTTTATAACTTACTTTTCTGTAGCCTTTATTTCATATAAATTGTTAGTTATACCTAGAGAACAGGTCTGATCAGATTTAATGTTAATTTTTTTTTTTTAACATGAATACTTGTTAAGTGGCATTGTAACCCCTGAGAATTCTTTTTTGTTGTTTGTTTTTTTGGTTTAGCTGGGCAAGGTGGTGCACACCTGAAAAATCCCAGCATTTGGGAGGCTGAGGCAGGAGGATTGCTGTGACTTTCAGGCCAGCCTGGGGTACATAGTGAGTTTGAGATTAGCTTGACAAAAGAAGAAGAAGAAGAAAAAAAAACAGCTGAACTACATATGAAACTCTGTCTCAAAAAAGAGAAAAAAAAAAAGATTTGGTTTTGGTTTGATGTGGGCATTGATTTTTGCTGTGTTGGCTAAGCTAGCCAGAACTCCTGGGCTCAAGTGATCCTCTTGCCTCAGCTTCTCGAGCAGCTGGGCCTACAGGTGCCTGGCTTCAGTTTTCTTAATCTATCTCCTGTTAAATCTTATGGCAAAAAATAATAAAAGTTTTCAAGGGTTTCTTACAATAAGATTTCTATGTGTATACAAAAATAAAGTATTGACTTTCACAGCCAGTTGTGTGGCCCGAATTACTGAGAGTAAAAAAAATTGTGTGTTCATAATGACAATGCAAAATCTGTTCACCTAAAATCACAGAGGGCCTTGAGTTTCTTGAAAAGTGAGTTCATAAGAGTTAATAGCTAACTCTTACAAAACAATCAGGTACACAATAAACAATGAAGTGTTTTAGAGCTGCTGCTGGTTGTGCAAGTTCAAGTGTGCTTTGTTTCATGATGACATATAATATGCACTTGAGGCATTTTGTATATGATCCCTGTCTTTTCTATACTTAAGAGCAAATCTAGATCTTTGAATCACAACATAACTCTCCCTTTTTTTTTTTGGTACCGGGGATTGAACTCAGGACCTTGTGCTTGCAAGGCAGGTGTCGGAACCACTGAGCTAAATCCCTGGCCCTAACCCTCCCTTTTAACAAATACTATACTGTTAGTTCATATCCTATGTACAACTTTTTTTTTTTTTTTTTTTTCTTTCTAGCCAGGACTAAAAGAAGTAGTAGAATCTTGTCGAGGAAAAAATCTATTTTTTTCTACCAATATTGATGATGCCATCAAAGAAGCTGATCTGGTATTTATTTCTGTAAGTAATTTCCTTTGCTGTGTGAATTTTAGTGTATTCTTTTTCTTTTTTTGAAGCAAAACATTTATTGGTACAGTTTTAGTGTGTTCTTATTTAAAATTTTTCTTTTCCAATTCTTAATTATTTCCACAACATAAGAACAGTTGAAATATATATAAAACTTGTATAATATGTGGATATTAACTTGATCAAATTTTTTAATATTTAACTCGTTTCAAGTGAAAATTTATTACAATTTTATGTCTCAGGCTTTACATATACTCACGGTATCTAAAATGTATACAAAATAAATGCTCTTAGTTCACTTCACTTTCCAAACTGAAAAAAAAATTTCATTGTGCTTTAACTTGCTATTAAACCACAACATGGCTTAGAGAGATTTCCAATTCAATTTTGACCAATTTAATTTGTCCAGGAGTTGAGCAAACCCTATAATCATCTGGTCAGGTATATGATTTCAATTCATTGAACAGCTAAACTCAGAGCAAGTTGTAATCTGAGATCTAGTATCAGGAAATAGTGATAGCACATGAGCACATATGGTAGTATATACAGTGGTACCTCAGTTCATGAACTAATTCTGTGATTCTGGTCGCAAACTAAATTAGTCGAGAACCAAATGAAATTCAATGGTTAGGTTCAACCGAACCTTATTTGGTTTGGTTCTTATCCAATTTGGTTTGTAACTAGAATTATAGGAGGAATTAAGTTCATGCACGGAGGTACTACTGAATGTCCTTTCTTGTTCCACTGTTGGCCGAGGTGAGGTAAAGAGAATCCCTTTGTGAACTTATAGGCATCTCCTGTCTAAATGAATTATTTTCCAAAAGTCATAGCCTTGTGAGGTGGATACACCTATAATCCCAGCACTCAGGAGGCTGAGGTGGGAGGATCCTTGCAAGTTGGAGGCCAG